ATGAAGCTTTAGTGTGATAATTTATTAGCTAGAGAATGATCTTAAGAAGAGGGTAGGTGGACAGTGCCGTTAGAGTACGGCAGTATGAAAATTGAATAGAAGTTGAAAATGAGCCAAGGGCCATTAATGCGACAGTTTTTAAAGTCAAACACACATCTTTTGCCTAGCCCGTACGATGTACGCGGAGACTTGAAGTATGTCTTCAAGTCTACAGGCAAAAGATGTGCGTCATCCTTTTGCTCATTACTGACTGCGGCTGTGGAATAGCTCTAGCGACGTTTCATCACTACCTATAGCCCCACGTTTGCGAGAGAATTTCCAGTCGATGGTGTGTTATAATGCAATTCTTCTTTACCCAACTATTGTGTTGCTCCTCTCGTCATGACCAACTTGGTCATCTCAGAGAGAAAGCAGTAGGGTGGTTGTTGTTGAACAGTTGGTTGTACATCTATTAGGGGCGCAGTATCACTCGAGCTTCGGCCAGACATAATGAAGAGCAAGTGTTCCACCTAGCAATGGGCAATCTTGGATCGAAACACAAAAGATCGATTTTTTTGGTTTGATTAATCGATTTTTTGAATCGATCTCAAACCCGACAAAAATCGACTGGATCGATCCTTTTCATTCGATCCAAGAAAAAAAATGTCAGTGCATTTGCATTTGCAATTTAATATTGACCTGTACCTGGAGTCTTCAGCTCACGCTCGGGCAGTTAAAATTGTGTCGGAGCAGATCAATAGTACCGAAAGAGTATACGATGATTGCACACATATGTCCCCGCAACCTAAACAAACCGGAGGCCTGTGGGATATTCATGACGAAATGGTAAAGTTATTAATCTACATATGTACAAACATTCACTTCTTATGACATATTTCAGGTTCATCAGTCCTCTGCTATGTCAGAACTGGATCGCCATGGGGGCATATCGGCAGAATTACAAAATTTTTTGCATCAGCCTGTTTTCCCACGTTCTGTCGATCTTTTTCGTTGATGGGAGAAAATCCGTAGTGTATATCCCCATGTAAACCCCATTGCTCAAGGCTATTTATCAAGAATGGTAACAAGTGTTCCGTCAAAACTGGTGAAACCACACAGAATCGATATCGGCTCAATGGAAAACGCTTGGCTCAATTAGCTTTCTTGGGATCCCTCTCGGATGAGTTTTGGGATATCTGAATTAAATACTTTCGTACTTACCTGCTTTTACACTCCGGCCATCTTTTTGTTTCATATGTAAATCGTTCATTTTTTAAATCGTTTATTTAATACCAATAAAACGGATATTATAACCTGTTAAATCAATTACCTCATCAAGAATCTTGAGCAAAAACTTCCACATGTCAAATGAAATCAAAATAGTAATTTAATATATTCTCACGTAGACCATCCGATAAAGAGTTCGATCCGCGGTACACGGTAAAGACCGTAAAGCATGGAGGAGGTAGCATCATGGTTTGGGGCTGTTTTTCTTGGTATGGAGTCCCAAGCAAAGTAGAATAACAACCCGATATCATCTAGATAACAAGTCCTGTTATCCCAGATATCATTTGTTTTCAGTTGTTATCGCATAACTTATTTAGTTATCAGCCTTGATCAATTTTGTTATCAGTTGTTATCATGAAAAATTCACTATATATTTATTAACGATGCAAGGTTAGTTCAAAACATAAAATATTATTCGCATTGAAACAATAAAAAATAGTGCTTCTAATCCCTAATCATATTTCAGTTATCAGCGTAAGGCTTTGATATCAAAATGATAACATGATTTGAAATTTATGGAATAAATTTGTATGGTTTGCAGAATTTGTTATCAAGATATTATCAATGATAACAAAATTAGTTGTTTTTGTGATATCCATCGAGCAATTTTTTGTTACCATTTTTGTTATGGTGGCTGTTGATTCAACAATAATAATAACATATTCAGTTATCAAAAAGTGTTAACCGGGTAATAGAATTTGTTATCAATTTGATATTTTACTTTGCTCGGTGTAGGTCCATTTTCTGCATTAATTCCATCATGACCAGATTTGAATACAAAGAAATCATGACATTTTATACCTTATGCTCCCTTATGCAGAAAATAACATGCCTCATATATGGCATTTTCAGTGAGACAACGATCCGAAACACACTTCTAAGTATGCAAAGGAATGGTTTCGTTCAAACAAATTGTCGTTTATTTAATGGTCTAGCCAATCTTCTGACATCTACCCCATGGAACATTTATGGAACGAGCTTAAAAGAAAGTTATCTGGTCAAGCATTTTCAAATAAGGATCAACTATGGACCACAGTTCAAAAAGAGTGGTATGCTATAAAAAAGGAAACTTTTCAGTGCTTGGATGAGTCAATGCCAAAAAGATTGAACAAGGTTCTACTTAACAATGGAGGGCACAGCGGTTACTAAGCATCATTAGTCTAATAAAACTTATACGATTATTTTCAACATTTCTATACTATAGTTTTATGCAACACACCTATTTTACTGACCAGGCATATTTTATATATGATTCTAATGAGTGAGTCGTTTAATGTTTTAATTTTGAGTTTTCTCGTGTAATTACTTAATTTTTATTACACTATCTTATGCTTTACTTTAAAGTCGAATAAAATGAAGTTGAATAAACATAACCTAAAATTTCGCATTTATTTTGCCTACACTTATTTTAATGACCAGCAGTGATGTTACACTCACAACATTCCCTGCGTACGTACTACACAATTTATTTCTAAATGATAGCAATCATCACACTAAATGACTATTATAAGTGAAATGTCATAATAAGATAGCTTATGTAACGTAATATCAACTCTAAACTGAACTTGGCTTAAATTGCACCAACTTTTCTATGATCCGTTATATTTGAAACATTTTTTGTGACATTTTGAAAAATGAATCGATTCAAAAGATCGATTCATAAAGATAGATTCAAAATGTTTGATTAAATCGGTGAATCGATTATTTTCAAAAACATGAATCGATTCACTAAGATCGATTCTTGCTTCAAGATCGCCAAATGCTAGTTCCACCAAACCAAAGAACAGATGAGGAGATCCAGATGAACAGATAATTGGTCACAGTTGATATTCAGTTCAGTGCAAAACATGTCTGGTACCTTTATATATGCATTTAAATTAACATGCAAAGTCCCTCCTTTTTTGCATATGAAATAAACAAGTTTGTATCACTGAGCCACCTTTGCGTCCAAACCTTAAACTGTTTTATCCACCACATTGTTGTCCTAAGTAGTCCAAGATTCTTCACTCAAGACGTCAACTCAATTGGATGCAATCCCAGAGCTTTTTTTTCTGCAGATTTAATTCCAGGCCCACTGTGTACTGTGTTTCTTCTTTTAAGCTTTCTGTAGCGAGCATCTTGACTTCTTTCAACTTAGTGTTCTAAATGCACTTCCACAGTTATTAATTGAGAGCTTTCCATGCCAACCAATGTAATTGTGTGGTTAGCATATTGATACTCTATGTCGAGAAAAGTCCATTAAATTTTCAACCCGAAAGATTTTCTCGACTGAACCGGGAATTGAACCCGCCTCCTCCGGCTTGGTAATACAATACTAAGGCTACTACTAGGCTATACTAGGCTACCTGAGGCCTCTGATATGGAACTATCATACATCATCAATAGTGTATGCAGGTCCAGAGTTTACCCAAATAACTAAATCAAGATCTACAGAACCCTAATAAAACCAAAATTTTACTTGGGTAATGTTGCAAAACCTATCGGTATTTGAAAAACATGTAACATGGCATAACATGCTATGCCTAACATCCATTATGCCTTTCGTACATTCAGCCGAATTTGTCTTTCTACATTTTAATCTCGTAACAAATCCTTTACGGGTTCTGCTAAGTTTGAGGCAACAATAAAACACACAAAATTGCTGTAAACAAGTGTTCAATAATTATTTGAGAGAAATATAACAATTTTTAGGCAACTAAGCCAGCCGAAAGTTGCCAAACTAGCAACAAGCTTCATTTGAAAGCATAAAACAAGCTTTGTTGCGAAGATCATCATTATCCGTTAGTATCCAGGAATATGTATACTGTAGTAGTATACTCTTCATATATTTCCCAACAAATGTATGCACAACTCCCAAACTAGCAGCTATAGAATGTTCCCACCTCATCATAAGTTATAAAATTACATAAGTTATGCATGATATAATAAAGATCATCCAATGCATAGATAAAAAACAATTCGAAAGAAAATTTCATCAATCATACGTAAAGAGTTATCGATGCGGAAAACATAAAAAAATAATATCTCAAACGCCATAACCGAGAAAATAGCTCAATTCAAATGAACTTTCCCATAAGAAAAAGAATCAAATAGCCCATATAAGAACAGCCCAACAAAGCAACAGAAACAGCAAAAACAAAAGATGACACACCACCTTCATCATCTGATTCAATTGAGAACGTGATTACTTTATCTTCGTAAACCTGACTGACTGACACCGTGAACTGAGTGTAACACCATCCCATCATCCCCATGGAAAGTGAAGTAAATCAACAAAGGTTTATTGTGCAAGCTTTGCCTAGCCTAGACATGCTTCCTTTTACTATTCGTTCGAACAATGTAAGACTCAATGGTGATCCACACCCCGTCAATGAAAGACGACGACGATGATGGTGCTCTGAAGATTCAATGCGAAATTATCATTATTTTCATATGAACCTCGACTTTGCAAACCGAACATATCAGCGATGCGGCGAACTACACAAGGAAAGTTAAATTGTGCTTGATATTCTTCGCCGTAGGATTCAATGTCATCACCGTCTCAACGCTGTGTCATGTCATCAACGACAACCTGATGGGTTGGGTAAACCAGCCTTAAGGAAGATGAATTATTATGTCTTCATTCAATTTTTTTCCCCCTTTCTTCAGGGAGAAGAAAGAACCTGAACGAGTTTGATCACACCTCATAATAACAATAATGGAACATTGAATGGAAATAAATAGGTCACGCTTACCTTCGGCTGTCATGAACTCGATCAGTTCCTCCAGATCGTGGGACATGGGACAATCCTCGTTGGAGGGCAGGTTGTAGTCAAGTGCGGTGTAGACGACGATTCCAAGTTTGAGCAAGATCTGTGAATGGAAAAAAAATGATATGAGAATGTTTTGGTTTTCTAAGTACTGATCGAAAAAAAAGTAAGATTTTGAAATCGCTGTAATGGAGCAAAACGATATCCGACATAATTTCACCCAAGTTTCTACCCCAGCGGATCGGTTCACCAATCATCCATTTCACATTTCCCGATTTCGCTTGCAAATGTTACACATATGCCAAAGCTTAATGTCAATCACATTGAAGCGCTCAGCCTAATGAAGCGAGTTTTCCAAACGCAGCATAAATTTGTACACACCCATCACCGTTGATCGGGCAGACAGTGCCAAAGCCCAAAACACGTTTCAAATTCCACAACCCCAAAACAAAAATTCTCTCTCTCTCTCTCTCTCTCTCTCTCTTTCAATGGGTCAGTGAATCATTTCATTGAACCCCATTCGACGGAAACCACGACATCAATGTCTGACACCACCGCCGCCGCCCGCTGCTACCGCGATCGTTGATGATGAGATCGATAGTGGTTTTTTTTTTCGGTCGGGTGATTTTTGCTGTATGCTGTATTGTTGTTATTGCTTTATATTTTTATTTTCAAATTCCATGTTTTCTTGTTGTTGATGGTCACTTTTGCTTTTCACTCGATGAAAGCAAAACAGAAATGAACGGGGCAGGCGTGAAACGGAGGAGGAAGAACTAAAGAGAGAAAGAAGATTTGGGTGCGATTCAATCTGAGAGCAATTTCCGCTACCAGCTGATCGATCGGCAATTTGTGGGTTTAAAAACCAGTGACGTCCGGGGGGTTTCGTGCGTTCGATGGGAAAAAAAGCGGTAGAAATTGATCGAGCCGATTTATGAGTTTTGGATCAAAGAAATGATTCATCGTTTTAATTTTTCATATCATGGGTTGAGTAGAGAATAGAGTAGAGTTTTATGCAAGTAAATTTGTAAAGAAATAAATTTACATCAGTTCAATCAACTCAATGGGGATAACTCCTTCAGAAGTGCCAGAAAAGATCTTAAAAAATTGTATCAGAATAAGTTTCTTTTAAGATCTCGTTTTTACATAATGATTAACAAATTGTTATATCTAGGATTAGAAAGTATGCCTTATTTCTGACTAAGAACGTTTGATCCCAGATTTATAGAAAATTTAATAGGATGTGTAAGTTTTTGGCCTTAGTATGCAACTCGTTTAGTGTTTTTTACTAACTTAATTTATTTCATAAGATGGTTAGAACATCTTCTTTGGCGCCGGCCACTAAATTGGGTCGAATTCATCTAAATTTTAAGTCGACCTCATCATCCGCGTGGACATTTTTTTTTTTCTGGTCTCAGATGCAAATTTTCAATATTATCTAGGCAATGACTTTCAATTCATCCTAGATATGGAAATCTAAAGGGTTTATTATAAGAGTTCCAGATTGTATATATATTTCTTGAAATTTGTTTATTCCAAGTTGAACAATTTTTCCATGATTCTGCATTAAAAATCAGAACATTAGAATATAATTCATATGAGTTTAAAAATCAACTAATTGTAGTGTCTGTAAAAAAAATATCCCGCTTTTAGATCTGGAACCTTGGCTTTTATCAAAGACAACATATCAAGAAGACTGGCAACGTTGCGAGAATCCAGGTGACAGATACAGTAGCGCTGCGCATGGGTGAAGGTGGAAGCAATGTATAGAAGAATAAGCAAATACACACACCTTTCTTCTATGGTTGGAATCATCGATATAACAGTCAATCAGAACATTTACCTTTGAGCGGCAGATGACGCGATTGTACCTGTCTCATAGCGGACGTATGAGGAATTGGAAGAGTTGCCAGTCTTCTTGATATGTTTTCTTCACTTTTATGTTAAATTGTATCATATATCTACATTTAGATAATTTTCAGAACCCCTAACTTTGAAATAATGTTGGGGAATTTGTAAGAAGATTTTTCTATTTTAGTCTGTAGTTTTAAGACAAATTTAGAGTTAAAATAATGTTTTGGCACATTCAAAGACTATTTTGCTACTTAACAATTTACAAGTAATATAAATAAAGTCGTTGTGACGTTTGCGATTAGCCATCTTAAGACTTTTTTGGGGCTTAAACGCCAATTTGTCGATAATTTTAGTGCTTATAATGTTTTTTTTTCAGTTTTTATGGCATGTTGTGGTAGCATTTTAACCCGTAAACGACCAGGACGAGCCTCTCATTTTAAAAACGCTAGATCCTATGAGCTCAAATGTTTTCTAAAATCAAAGGGATAGATCTTCAAAGTTTGTTTATATGAAATCCCCTTCAACCTTTTTCCACTTGTTTTCATGATTTTGATTAAAGGTGGATTTCAGTGTACTTTTCCATCCATTTCAAGAAGAATTGTTGTTTTTACAAATTTAAACACGGTTTTGAGCTTTTTCGATGATTTTGAGGATTATCAAGGACCTGACATCATAAATCCGAGACTCATCATTTACGATCCATTTCGATTTCTATCACTTGTCTTAGGCTGTCCAAATTGTATTGGAGTTCAGGTCACATGATCTACTAGATCAAGTATGACTGATAAAAAATCGAAAGATAAATGGTCCCAAGGACAAAAGGGGAAATACAAAAAGTCAAAAGGGCAAAAGGTCGAGATCCCATTACGGATTTTTTTTATTTATTATGAAGAATAAGTGTAATTTAAAGAAGAGTTTATTGTATTACTGTGTTATATATGAAAGCACTGCTCGCGTATAATAGAAAGAAAAACCTCTAAAAAATATGTGAATCAAATATCTCATCTAAGATTTTCGAAATTTTTGAAAGAACTGATCATGTCTAAATGAAGGCAAACTCAAATAAAAATGCTTTATACCCTAAAACTCACAAGTTTTCCAAAGCTCAAGTGTACATTTTTAAAACACAAAGTCTTAAATGTAAATTTTAATCATTGTATCTCAAATAATTCTCATGATGAAACTTTCTACGAAGGGTTAATCAAATAGATATTAATTTTTACTATACCACTCAACATTACAGCAATTTATTCAATGAAAATAAAATTTTAATGACTTAGTAGCTTTCAAAGAAAGGAAATTAGTATAAAATCATATTTTACTTTTGAGAGATTTTTTAAAGTCATGTCAAATCAGTTTCAGCATATTTACATTAGTTTTTGGCCTCTCGATAGTTTGTTTTAATCGAAATTTTGTTCTTTCGACCATTTGTTTCCTTGTAACTTTTGTCTTTCGAGTATTTCTCCTCTTGACCTTCTGTCTTTCGACCTTTTGTCCCTAAGCCCGACTGAGACAAGATTCCCAAAAACGAAACAGGTTCAAACTGCTTCATGCATTCTATGTGCATCATTAACTATTAATTTACATGATTGTGAGATTTTATAGGTCCCACAAATCGTTTTGGAGTTCATATCACATGAACCACAAACTGAGACAATGTACCCAGCAACTAACTATGCCCAAAGATCTTTATGGAGTCTGTGCGCATCATTGTAGGTTCATTTAAATGCGCATGAGATGTTTAAAGTTCTCCCAAACTTCCTGGAGCTCAGATCAAATGATCTACTAGATCAACAACGACTGAGACAATAACCCTAACAGTGAAACATGTCCGTGAAGATTTATGGGTTGTATACATATTATGGGAGAAAAACTTTAATGCATATGAGGTGTTGGCGATTCTCCCAATCGCCTTGGAGATCAGGTCAAATGATCTACTAGATCAACCGCAAACTAAGGCAATGTCCCCAGCAATTAAATATGTCCAAACAGCTTCATAGAGTACCTTCAGTACCTTACTCAAAATTGTCCTTTGTTCGCTTTCAACTTTCTATGTACAATTTTCACACTATCATACTCTAACGGAACTATCAACTCTATACTTACATCTCCTGATCTATCATATAAAATGTCCACTTTAAGTCCAATGTTTGACATTAGGCATTTCTAACAACATACGTGATGTTCTAGGTTTTCCAAATCTAAACTATCTACTACATCAACCACAACTGAGACAATGTCCCTAGAAACGAATTTGCAATACAATATCTTGAGATCCTAACCATTCAGGAAAGTGCAGTCTTCGACAAAGTTATTCAGGTTCTACGCAGTTGTTTGGTTGGGCATATTAACTACTAGTAAGAAATATATCTTAAGATTGTGACCCACTGGGAAGCTGCTATCTTCCACAAAGTTCTTCCCAGGTTATCAGAATCTTGGGATATAGTAAATTATGAATGTCTATTTTCACACTACCGCCACGTAGTGTGTGGTTTATGAACCTAACCTGTCAACAATGTGGTAGACCTTGGTTAACTGATCTACTTTGCCCAAGACAGTAGCTTCCCAGATAGTTAGGATCTCAAGATATAACACACTTTGAATTTTCCGAGGGTTTCTACCAACACTAATTACCGGTGCCAGTCAGATTACCGAAAAGTGCTCTGATTACTTTTCATTTAATTAAAATTACTTTATTACCTTCAAATTATTTTTATTACTCTCGCTTACCGAAATTATTACGATTACTTGAATAGTTTTAAGAATTACTTTGGAATTACTCAATTATTCAATGATTAACAATGTTTCCTACGATGGAATTGTTAGAGTAATACGACGGCATCCAAGCTCGTCAAAAACAAAACTGGAATCAGTTTTGACTAAGTTTAAAAAAAGTTTCAATGACAAAATCAGAATTTGAAAGTTTTACTGTAAATACTGTATTTCAATATAGAAAAACTCGTCTGTTGCTATTCTTTTGATTTTGACGTTTGCGCACTCTGATGTCATGATGTCATCGATAGAATATTTCATTCGTATATTTCCTTTATATACAACTGAAGTCTTATTGCAGAAATCGAAACGAAGCATTTTTCGTAAGAGCGCTTATATAAAAAAAGTCGATTTGATTTGATTTGATTGCATAATGTGGCCCTAATTTTTTTTTTCAGATTTAATTTTTTTAATATCTAATTCCGATTTCCACTAATTTAATAATAAGGCATACCTGAAACAACTAAAATCATACAATTT